TATATTTTTATATCTATACTTTCTATATTTTATTTTGAGCTTTGTTTTTTTTTTTTTTTTTTGGTCATGTTTATTTTTTTTTTAGTTTTCTTGTTTCCTTTTCTCCTGGAGGGATTTGTGAGAGGGAAGGGAGGGAGAAGAAAGGTCTGTCCTTTGTTTTTGCAACATCCAGGAACAATCTGAGCACAACAAATCCCAAGCAAACTGGAGCCAACCTTCCCTTACTGGTGGCCCTGGGGAGGGGGGGGGGGGTGGGAAGCATTTTTGGGGGCCTCCAGGAGCTGTTGTCCTTGGCTCCACACAGTTCCTGCCTTCCTGAGGTTTGGGACTTGAGGTTCCCCCAGGAATTGGTTCTTGCTGGGATCAGCAAAGGGAAGAGAACGGACAAAAAAACCTCCCTGCCCAACTTCCCACCTCCTGTGGAGCCTCCATGTTCCCTCAGAGCAGCTCCTGGAGCAGATGTGTTTTTAGGGATTATAATCCTTTGCTTTAAAGGGTTTTCCAACCCTAAACATGGGAACATCCCAGAATCCCAGCTCCTCTCTTTCCACCTCCTCTTGGGCACGAGGGGAGCCTGGAATTCCCCTTTCCCGTTGCAGGCACCTTTAGTCCTTCAGAGCAGCCCAGGACCTGCATCCAAACACACATCCACGGACATTCCTGGCAAATCCCTCCCTTCCCAGATGGATTTCCACTCAGGGATGAGTGAACCAGGCGCAGAGACGGGAAAACTTTGACAGGGAAAGATGGAAAAAGGGGTTGCAGAATTGTGTGGCCTCAGAGACACGTGGGAATCTAAATGGGATAAATACAAAATACGTGGATCCTGCTCCTCTAGGAAAGACAAGGAGATGTCCAAGGCCAGGATGGGGCTTGGAGAAAGCTGGGATGGTGAAGGTGTCCCTGCCCATGGCAGGGGGTTGGAATGAGATGATCTTTAAGGTCCCTTCCCACCCAAACCATTCCAGGATTCTGTGCTGCTCCGTTGCAGAGGAATTGGTGTCTGAGTGGGATCAGAGACTGAGCCCCCCAAAACTGCCCCTAAGGAATCCCATTTTTGGGGGATCCCATCCACCACAGCGTGACAGGGAATAAAAGCAACCAGGCAGCAAAATCCTCCAAAAAATAACGTGGGAAAGGTCTGCCATGGGGTGACAAATATCTGGGATAACCATTTCCTCAGGCCATAATTCCTCGGAGCAAATCATCCTCTCCTTTGGATTCTGTCCTTCCTCCTTTCCCTTTTCCCTGTGGGTTTGATGAGCAGGAGCAGCTCTTCAGATCCCTGAGGGGGATTTGAGTCCGAGCTCCTCCACACAAACCCAGGTGGCCCAAACCATCCCATAAATTATTGGTTGCGTTTTCCCCCCGAGAGAACTTTATTTAGGACGTGGATTCGCCAGCACAGACTTTGCCCCCCACAAACCACCTCTGACCTTGAAACATCTTCAGACTGCAAATTAACCCGTCCCCTGGGCCACATCCCTGCAGTTGTTCCGGGTTTTTTTTGTGTTTCAAATCTTCGGGTTTATGGTAAAGGAGCCGAATTTGGCATCTTGTTATTTCTGTGTTATTTATTAGTTTGTCTGATGGTTGTGTTTTTTTTTTTTTTGCAGGGTTTGTGGACATAAAACCAGGCTGGGGTGTTGTCAGACTTCCTGAAGTGTTTACCCTGGCTCTGAAACAGGGTTTGACCTTGGAAAGGATCCCTTTAATCCATCACCCCTGCCCTAAATAGCAGCAGCGGGAAGTTGGCTCCCCCGGGGATGTGCCAGTGCCCTCTGGCAGCTGCTCCCGAATTCCCAAAGCCCTTTATCATCAGCACTGTCTCCTCATCTGGGGAGGGAGAGTCTCAACCTGGTTTTTTGGGATGAGGAGAACGTCAGCCCGGGCTCGGGTGTCCCCTGGGCAGCCACAGCATCCCAAACTCTGCAGCTGGGAGGCCAAATATTCCCAGAGAATAATAAATCCAGGATGATTTTCCTTGGAAGGGACCTTGAAGCTCATCTTTTTCCACGGGCAGGGACACCTTCCACCAGCCCAGGTTGCTCCAACCTGGCCTTGGACACTTCCAGGGATGAAGGCTGAGCTCCAATATGGGGATTGACAGCAGAGCATCCTTTCCTTTGGGAATTCTCATGGCAGAAGGTCCCTGAGGGATCTGGGGAGCTCAGGCAGCACCTCCCCATGGCCTGTGCCATAGTTTTTCATGGAAGGCTGGAAAGCTGGAGTTTTAACCATGGAAGACTGGAAGGCTGGAGTTTTAACCCTGGAAGGCTGGAAAGTTGGAGTTTTAGCCTCAGTTCAATGAAAGGTTCTCCAAGGCAAGGCTCGTGCTCAAGTTTAATCCCAATCCAAGGGCACAAGTGGAAATTCCTGCTGCTGAACTGACAGGGCTTCCACTCGGGAGATTTTTTCTTCCCTTCATTTATTTTTTTCCTCCCTACTGGAGGAAAACCAGGAATTCTGCCATGGCCAATATCCAGGTTTCCTCTTCTTTCCTTCTCATGGGAGATTTGCTTTTCCAAGGCTCTTCAGTTGAGGCTGTGGGGATCCTGAATTTGGCCCAGGAATTTGGTCAGGAGGGATATTTTTGACTCCTACCTGTGGAGAGAGGGAGTGTTTGTAAAACACATTTGTCTGAATTCAATGTGATTTGTGGGTTAGGATTAGGATTAGATTTAGGGTTAGGTTTAGGGTTAGGCTTACGGGGAGTGTTTGTAAGACAGATTTGTCTGAATTCATCATGATTTGAGGGTTAGAATTAGGATTAGGATTAGGGTTATGTTTAGGTTTAGGTTTAGTCTTAGGGTTACCATTAGGGGGGTATTTGTAAAACAGATTTGTCTGAATTCAGCATGATTTGAGGGTTAGGATTAGGGTTAGGCTTAGTTTTAGGATTAGGGGGAGTATTTGTAAAACAGATTTGTCTGAATTAAACATGATTTGAGGGTTAGTGCTAGGATTAGGATTAGGGTTAGGTTTGGGATTAGGGTTAGGGGAGTATTTGTAAAACAGATTTGTCTGAATTAAACATGATTTGAGAGTTAGTGCTAGGATTAGGATTAGGTTTAGTCTTAGGGGGAGTATTTGTAAGATACATTTGTCTGAATTAAACATGATTTGACCCCTGTGATGGGGTCAGGACTCAGTTGCCATAAGAGCCCCTTCCCACAGGTGGATCCTTCAGGAGGTTTCATCTCAGTGATAGAAATAAAACCCCAATTATACTCAATTCCTGACTCTGCTCTGAGTGAATTGGTCCTGTTAAAACTGCTGATTTTTTACTGGTTTCTTTATTGACGTTTATTGACAAAATTCTGAGGGAAACTGCCCCAACTGTGGACAAAATCCCCTCAGAACGTTGTCAATAAATATTTTCAAAGAAACCAGCGAGAAACATAAACTGTAACCCAGTTGCCATCCCTGGCCTCCCTTGCCACGTTTTTCCCAGGTGTGTTGATCATTTTTCTCCGATTCCTGATTATTTTCCCCTGGAAAAAGGAGAGATGTGGCCAGGGATTGCAGACAACTGGCTGATCCAGGAGGGATTGCTCTGCCTGGGAATGAATCTCCCCTCGCACGCAAGTGGCAATTTCTGGGAATAACATCCCCTAATGCTCTGCAGATTCCATCCATCTCTCACACTGCTCCAGGATGGCAGGATAAATGTCCTTGGCCATCCTGGAGCACAGAACTCCGGAATTGCTGCCAGGAGGTGTTTGCTGGGGGATTTATGTGTCTGAGAGGCGACATTTGCACCAGAGATGGATCCCCTGAAGTGCTTTTATTGCCAGCAGAGATGTGCTCGGTACATTTAATAAACTGCAGCGTGGCTCCTCTCAGCCTAAAGTTTGTGTTGAGGGTAAGTCGGGGTGAATCATTCCCCGAAATCCCCATTTCCCACAGCTGATTATGAGGAGGGAGAGGCTCCCTCAGCTGCCTGGGATAACCCTGCAGACACCAGGGCTCTGTTCACCACCTGTAACCGTTTAACAGCTTCTTTTGGGTGTATTTCCACTCCCCCCCAACAAAAAAAAGTCAGGGGGGTTTGG